CGCACCCTACAGGGGCTGGCCAGTTAACTCAGTTGGTCAGAGCACAGCCTTGTAACACCAAGGTCAAGGGTTTGAATCCCCATACTGGCCAGCTGCCAAAAAAAAAAAAAGGTCATGTGGTCTCTAAGACTCACACATATGCTCATTCTTTGCAGTAACAAAAACCTGGACATTATCTAAATATCCGTCCATAGGGCTTAAATAAAATATGATACCTCCTAAATGGAATAGTTAAGCTATAATTAAAAATAATAAAATAGATCAACATGTAGTGATAAGCAAAGTTGGCCATGATGTATTATTTAAGAGGAAAGAAAAAATTACCCATTCTTATTAAAATATTGTGTGTGTGCACATGTGTGGTTATTAAAAATTTAAAAATCAAATAAAATTAAAATTTACTTCCTCAGTTGCACTAGCCACATTTCAAGTGTTCAGTAGCCACATATGGCCGGTGCCTACCATATTGGATAGCACAGATATATATAACGTTTCTGTTATTTCAGAAAGTTCTACTGAATAGAGCTTCTCTACACTATTAAGTGGCCAGAAGGAGGCCTTTTACTTTGTATGTTATAGACTTATGTGAATGCTTACATTTTTTTGTGATAGATAAGCAAGTATGCTATTATCACAAAAATAGGAGCATACGAGGTTTCCAAGGTAAGGTTCTCTTTTTTAAGCAGGTGGTAGTGTATTGTCATTATTTAAGATGTATGTGTGTGTGTGTGTGTGTGTGTGTGTGTGTGAGTATATATAAACTCTTCAAATATATTTTATAATGAAAATATTTTGAAATATATAGGAAAAAAAAAATCACCTGGCAGGCACGCAGTGGGCCAGGTTTGAGGTTGGAAGACTTTTGGTAGAGTCTGGGCCCCTGACCTCACAGATTTCCAGTTTTGGCTCAGTCACTTAGTCTTCTTGAGCCTCAGTTTCCTAATTTGTGACACTTCACCTGCCTTGTAGGGTTGGAGTAAGATTTAGAAGCATGGCGATATGTTAAAACTCTTCAAAACTGAGGAACATGCCACACAGAGGTGGAGGGTCAGCAAACAGTTGTGGGTTATCAAAGGCCCAAAGAGGAAAGGCCTGGATATGCTGTGACCACGACAGGGGTTCAGAGGCCTTACCTGCTCCTTAGTGGAGTTTTTTCCAGATGCTGCTAAGGTTACTAGAAGCAGAGAGAAGCGTCGTTTTATCCCTACTGCTGTCTGGCTTGGTGATTTAGAAATAATGTTATTTTATTTATTTAACAAGCACTTATGTAGCACTTGCTGTTTGCCAGGTACTGGTCTAAGTCCTTTCCACATGTTTACTCATTTGATCCTTCTGCAAGGTAGTCACTGTTAGCATGGTCATTTCGTGTGGGAGGAAATTGAGCCCTGGAGAGGTCAAGTAACTTGCCAAAGACCACACAGCTAGTAAGGGGCGGGTACCTAACTAAGGCAGTCAGTGCTTTCTTCTTTCATTTTTTCTCTTCACTGTTCCTCCTGCCCCCCCCAAATATGGTCATGCAGTTCCTTATGTCAGTTTATTTATCTCAGGAGCATGAGATTAAAATTTTGATATGAAGTCTTGTGACTGGTTTTCTGGCTGAGTTTGGTAGTATGGCAAAGTAGAACTGGGTGGGGGAATTAGGCTTATCTGGGTGCCACTTATTAGCCACTTACTAGCTGTGTGACATTGGGCAAGTTGCTTAACTTCTGATTTTCAGATGGCATTTTGTGAGGGTCCAGTAAGATCACCTATTGTGACAGTGCCTGGCATTGTGTCAGGCAGGCAGTTGGTGCCATATTTATTTATTTATTTTTTTGTCTTTTTTTTTTTCGTGTCCGGCAACGGATCACAACCCTCAGTGTCGCGCCCGTACCGGACCGGGACTGGCAACGGGATCGCAACCCTCGGTGTTGTGCCCGCACCTCGCTCAGCCAGTGAGCGGGAACCGGTCTGTATGTGGGATCCGAACTCTTGGTGGGAGCGCTGCCGCGCTCCCAAGCGGCGCACTGTAGCAGTGTGCCACCGGGCCGGCCCAGTTGGTGCCTTATTAATGCCCATTTTTTCCTATTTCTTTGTGTTAAGCAGTGAATTTAGGCTTGAGAAAACAGAGAGGAATAAGGCCAATGCCTGTCTTCAAGTTTACAGAATGGCCTAGGTGGGGCTGGGGAACATTCTAACTCAGGCGTCAAGGAACCTGAATTCCAGCCAGTCCTGGCTCTCTCTTTCCTAGGAGACGAGTTTCTTTGCTCCTTTGCTCCACTTCTGTCATCTGTAAGTGAAAGCCTGGACTGGACTCTGAGGACCCATCTGTCTTGTCATTTTCTGATTTGTCGTATTTAGGACAGGACAAGCCCAAGCCTGAGGGGCCAGCGCCATGGCAGGTGGATACAGGGTGTGTCAGCTTTTCCTCTAGGCTCTTTGCCAACGCTCCCAGCAGCTTCCTCCCTGTGATGCTCCGTGGAGGCCTCTTGGCTCTGTCCAGAGCAGGAATGGTGGAGACAGAGTCAGCTTCATCTTCTCTTCAGCCTGTCAGCATCTGAGAGGGGCAGGTTTGGGAGGTGAACAATGAGTCACAGGCAACTCCTGGTTGCGTGTATGACTCTGCAGTCCACTCATGGCTGCAGGAGCTGCAGGCATCGTCCTTGGGGCTGAAAATTACACTTACTTAAGAGAGGTTGTGTATGTGCTTACGGGATACTTGGGCAGCTTGGAGTGGGAGGGCTGGGGTCACTAACTGAGAAGTGGAGGGGGAAGGAGCCAGCTGAGATCCTCAGGGTCTTGCAGGCTCCTGCAGAAGTGGGTGTTGGGGCAGGAAGGTGAACACCTGTAACCATCCACTCTGCTCCCTTTTCTGCTACCCTGTACTAGAGCCATGGAGTGGGAGGCAGCTCCATCACTTCTCGTTTAAGAACCTCATAAAGGGAGTTAATATCCTATAATTACACACATGAATTGCACCTAGCAGTTTTATTTAAAGAAGGGCAGTGAAACGGATCCTGTCTTAATAGTGTGACCTTTACTGGGCAAGTTAAATCCCAAAGCTAGCTGGTTTAAGGGGCTTTTGTGGTTTGCCTCCTTTGTTGATTTGCATAGGTCTTTCCCAATGCCAGTAGCACTTGTGAAGTTATGGACACTTTCTGAAACTTAACAGACCTATTATGACTTCCCCAGCATTTATTGATAGCTTTTATTAACTATTGGTTCATTCTGAACATGGGGTGTACATGAAAGTGGGACCCAAGTCTGCTATCCTTTAAAAATAAAGTTAGGAGACAAGAGTATTACAAGTTCATTGTCACTGTGCCCATTGCCTATAGACAGCCACTAGCACCTCCTGCATCCTCTGGATGGAGGCCTTGGTGCCTATCTGAGTGACCTGGCTGCAGCAGTGCTTTTAATTTGGAAGTGGCACCTTGGTTCCTTCTTCTTCAAATGCTACAGCTAGGGCTGCAAAACCTTGTCTCCCTGCCAGCCTGAAGGCTGACACTTAGGGAATATCTCTTTTTTTAATCATTGGTTTTTGGGACATAGCAGAGTGAGCTGCTGACAGAGGTGGCAGTGAGGATACTTTGGGGCTGAACCTACTAAACCTTCAAGAAAACAATGACTATAACCTTGGTGGTGTTTCCTTTGGTTCTTCACTCTGTTGAGCTCCAAAACTTATTTTAAGTCATTCGTTTAGATTTTAGATTCACTAAAGAATAAGAGACTGAGATTACAGGTCCAAAGGTACTGAGGAGAGAGAGATTCGTCTGAACAGGAATAGCCAGCCCTGGAGGCCCTTGGGTTTGCCATTCTACTGGGCATGTCACATGATCTCATTTCATCTCTCACCAGGCCTGTGAAGTTGGTACTGTTAACAGCTGAGGACTTTAATCTCAGTGTGCCAAAGTCACACAACCTGGGAGTGGCCAAGTTAAGACTCGAATCCATGTTTACTCCAAAGCCACTGCCTTAAGCCACAAAGCCACAAGTCTCTCATGAACTGCTACCAGGAGACAGTATCCTTGAACCCAGCCTTGGAGTGTGAGTTGGGTTTGGATAAGCAGAGAGGAAAAGGAAAAGAATTCTGTGCAAGGGGAGTAGATGTGATCACAAGCCTAAGAGAGGTAATAAGCATGACATGGAGCCGCGCCTGCTGGTTGTATGCTCTGCGGCCATAATTCTATCTCCCAGTGCCTAAGGGATACCTGGTGCATAGTAGATGCTCAGTAAATATTGCATGAATGAATGCATGAATAGACAGTTATCTTCTCCAAAGACTGTGAGTCCCTTGAGAGCAGGGAGTAGGTTTTAGAGATCTCTGGCTGCTCTGCAGTTGTTAATAAGGAGTAATCACTCAGCGTGTTATGTCCTGATGGAATGAATGAACGAATGGCAGGTAAGGGGTGGTGAGGAGAGTGCCTGGGTAAAGAGACACTGATGCTTTGGGAGGTACTGAACAGTACTCATGGACTGGCATGGTAAGGGCATATCATGGAAGGTCTTTAGTGTTAGGACAAGGAGCTCTTGTGTTCCCATTGAGGCATTTTTTAAAAAGCCATCTCTCAATGCACAACATTGTGGGCTGCAGAAACCCAGGCAGTGCCCAGACTGATGGTTGTGCTAAGGAACCAGAGTCAGGCGCAGCTTAGAAATCACTTTCCTGTAGGACTGGCCTCCGTTGTCACTGCCTTCCCACTTTGGGGTGACCACACTTGTAACCGGAAAGAGACCTGTAAAAACTTGGGAATGGGAACCTGCAGGGAATGGAAGGTACTGCTTGGTCCCGGAGTTGTTTTTAGGATAGTTTGGTTGAGAAGTCCCAGCCAACTTCCTCTAAGATGTGGTTTTCTCAGCCCAGGAGTTCTCACTAAAAGCTGCCCTCTCTTTTCAGGTGTTGGCTAAGTCTGTGGTTTTAAACAAGCCTGAGGGCCAGAGGCAGCCCTGGGAGAAGCCCTTTCCGTGGGCGGTCAGAACCTGCTGGTCCTAGAGGTGAAGCTGAACCCTCACCTGGACTTATGACCCGAGGCTTCGCTCCCGTCCTGCCTGTCGAGTTCCATAAGATGGGCTCTTTCCGCAGGCCTCGACCGCGCTTTATGAGCTCCCCAGTGCTCAGCGACCTGCCCCGATTCCAGGCCACCCGGCAGGCTCTGCAGCTGAGCTCCAACTCAGCCTGGAACAGGTAAAGGAGGCCAGAGGGTGTGGGGTGGAGGGCTGCCGGGGGCCAGAGCAGGGCCAAGCAGCATCTGCAGACTGGCTGAACTGCTGCTGCTTCTGGGATCTCTGCTTCTGGAAGGTCGTGATTGCAGGGGTGCTTGATAAAGAGAGTGAGCTTTTGGGCCGGCCTGGTGGCTGCTCAGCGACCTGCCCCGATTCCAGGCCACCCGGCAGGCTCTGCAGCTGAGCTCCAACTCAGCCTGGAACAGGTAAAGGAGGCCAGAGGGTGTGGGGTGGAGGGCTGCCGGGGGCCGGAGCAGGGCCAAGCAGCATCTGCAGACTGGCTGAGCTGCTGCTGCTTCTGGGATCTCTGCTTCTGGAAGGTCGTGATTGCAGGGGTGCATGATAAAGAGAGTGAGCTTTTGGGCCGGCCCGGTGGCGCACTCGGTAGAGTGCGGCGCTTGGGAGCATGGCGGCGCTCCTGCCGAGGGTTCGGATCCCATGTAGAGACTGGTCTGCTCACTGGTTGAGCGCGGTGCGGGCGCGACACCGAGGGTTGCGATCCCGTTGCCGGTCGCGGTATGGGCGTGACACTGAGGGTTGTGATCCCGTTACCGGTCACGAAAAAAGACAAAAAGGAAAAAAAAAAAAAAAGAGAGTGAGCTTTCTTACATCCAGTGTGTCTGCTAGCTTTCCTTGAGAAAAAGAAAGTAGACTACTGGGAGCCTCTGGCCTATCGGAGTCAGTTAACCAGCTCGGGACAGTTGGATTGGAATTTACAATTACTGTTCATACTTGTTATTCACACCCCAAATTGTTAGAGTATCCCAGGGTGCAGTCATATAAGTAACCTACTATCTATTTGGGAAGGTGAGACATGTATCTGGGAAAAGCTAAATGAGTGGCATAAACCAGAAATCGTCAGTACCCGTGAGCCACAGGTGCTTGCAGGAAGAGACACTGAGCGCTTTTCTCAGGTGTCTAGCCAGCCTTTTGTTCTCTAAGAATTGAGCAGAGACCAATCAGTTCTATGTCTTACGCTGTGGTGAGTTACTAGTTTTCAAAGCGATGCAGACACTTTTTCGATAAATAAAATGCATTATTAGTTTAAAGAATGACTGAATTCTTTGTAGTTCGGGCCATTGTGAGTTTTTTTTCAGTGAATAGACACAGAAAGCACAGCTCTGGTGATGGGGATGGAGAGGGGCTCTAAAATGTGTGTAAAAGGGCCGGCCCGGTGGCGCACTGCTACAGTGCGCCGCTTGGGAAGCGTGGCGGCGCTCCCGCCCGAGGGTTCGGATCCCACAAACAGACCGGTTCCGGCTCGCTGGCTGAGCGAGACGCGGGAGCAACACCGAGGCTTGCGATCCCGTTGCCGGTCCCCGGTCNTTCATACTGGCTCCAGACTCCCAAGCTGCCCTGGGAAGACAGTGGCCTCCTGGGCAAAAGCACCCAGGCATGGTCAGCTCCTGCTTGCCGAGAATGCCATTTTGGATCCTTCCAGACCCAGGGGTGCTGGCCGTGCAGCTTCCTGAAGCAGATCCCACCTCCTGCCTTTTATTGTTGCTTCTCACTGGCAGGGCTGCGCCTGCGAGAAAGCGGGGCTACTTGTGAGTCCTTTCAGCTTCAGTCTTCCTTCCTCTCTAAGGATGCAGAGAAGGAAGCGGTGGATTCCAGGTATGGAAAATGTGCCCATGTCTGTGCCATGGGCTTCCTGGCCCTGGAAGACAGATTCCCTAACCAGGGGTTGTTTCCATTTCCCTGCAGCGTCCAGACTGCTGTGATCAACGTCTTCAAAGGGGGCGGCTTACAAAGCAATGAGCTTTACGCACTGAACGAAAACATCAGGTACGTGGCGGGCCAGACCTGGTGGCGCCGTTTTCCCCCGTGGGCCTGAGCTGGGGCAGAGGGGGCTACCCCAGCAGGAGCCTTATCTTAAGCTTTTTTTTTTTTTTTGCTTGGTTCTTGTTGCTTCCTCTGTCAACTATTACATTGCTCTTACTTGCTCTTAGGTTGTTGAGTTCTGAGATCCTTATCTGTCTAGAGTTCTGATCCAGAGA